AAGATTTTGATTCTTGTTCAATAAATGGCATTAATCGAGGATTACAAATGAAAGTTTCTTTTATAGGCTAATATTCAATAATTGAAGCTTCTCCTTTAATATATTTTCTGAAGCCATTTTGGGCAGGGTGGGGGAAGACTTCTTCATTCCTGCTTTGAAGATTTTTTTTTTGCTTGTTTTTTTTTTTTTAAAGAAAAAATAAATGTAGAAAAAGGTTTTGGCCGGGCGGTGGTGGCTCACGCCTTTAATCCCAGCACTCGGGAGGCAGAGCCAGGTGGATCTCTGTGAGTTCGAGGCCAGCCTGGACTACCAAGTGAGTTCCAGGAAAGGCACAAAGCTACACAGAGAAACCCTGTCTCGAAAAACCAAAAAAAAAAAAAAAAAACCAAAAAAAAAAAAAGAAAAAGGTTTTGATAGGATTTTATTTATATCAAAGTTTATTTTTTAAATCTTTTTACACTTGTACTTTAAAAAAAATCAAGTAGTTGATGTTCATTTTGATATACTCAGTACCACCTTACAACTCTTTTAAAACACCTTTTTGAGGTTAATAGTAACCTTCACAAAAATAAAAATTGTATAGTAAATATTACTGTGCACTTGTACCTGTATCTGAATTTCACATGTATAGCTTGTGGATCTGAACTTTAAGCCCAAGAAATAACCATGTAGAAGTCTAAAACTAAAAACGACCAAAGACTCCCCATTTGTAATTGAATTCACCACTCTGCTGTGGAGCTTGTATCTCTTTACTGTTAAAAAGCTTCTCAGAGGATGTTGATGCACAGCCATAATTGGGAGCTGTTACCTTTGGACATGAGCAAGGTTTTGTTTGTTTGTTTGTTTGTTTTTGTTTTTTTGTTTTTGTATGTTTGGTGGTGGCGCACGCCTTTAATCCCAGCACTCGGGAGGCAGAGCCAGGTGGATCTCTGTGAGTTCGAGGCCAGCCTGGGTTACCAAGTGACCAAGTGAGTTCCAGGAAATGTGCAAAGCTACACAAAGAAACCCTGTCTTGAAAAACCAAAAAAAATAAAATAAAATAAAATAGAGTCATAAACTTCTAGAACAGAACTAGACCTTGGAAATAAGTTTTCAAGCAGAGGAAAGTCAATGACTCATCTCTGTGCAGACAACCACCCCAAGCTGGAAACAGCTTTGATTACATAAGGAGGGACTGACAGAACCCGATCGTCAGGTGGCATCGTCACTTGAGGCAACATCTCTCACCTTGTTCCTTAACTGCATCCTACTCTCCATTGATGCGGAGGCCTTGTCCCTTGGTGGGAGCTGCCATGACTCATAGAACACAGGCTTGGGGAACCCACTGCAAACTCCACCTCTCCTGTTAAGGTAGCTGTCCACAGCAGGAGCCGTGAACACTGTAATCCCAGCACTAAGGAGGCTGCGAAGCGGGAGTTTTTGTGGAGGCTCAATGCCAGCCCAGTCTACATAATAGGATCCCGCGTCAAACTAATGTAAAAGTCACTTGTATTGCAGTTTCCAGATGGAAAAACATCAGCACTGTTTCAAGTGTTAGTGAAGAAGTTTTATTGTTCATACCAGGTAAAGTGCTTCTATATGTACCAGGATTTCAAGTGTTAAGTAACTTAGAGCTCTTCTGGAAATCATATTATTGTCACTGTATCACGTGATTGGTGATAAGCAGTCTGTTCCATGTCTATAGGAGCATATGATCACAATTTAATTCTATTTTTTAAATCTCACATATTCAGTTTTATTTTCCTAAAACAACTTAAATTTTGCCAAATCAGACATTGTCACCCCCAGCACAACACTAAAATTTTACATTACTTAAATATAGACAACTAAAACATAGTGCATTGTAAAATAAAGGATCAGCCTTAGGTACTAAACACAAATCATAAAAATGTTCCTAGTTCCTACACGGGCCTAACCTGATTACATTGTAGTAAGTATACATATGAATGTACTTAACTGTGGCTAAATTTAAAAAAAACACACTATCAACTGAAAACTGGAAATTATAGTTAATACATAAATAATGATAGTTTTAAAAGTGGACCATAAAACTATTGAAGTGAGAAATGTGTATACATTTATGTATTTGTATACATAATATGTGTGGGTGTGTATCTATATACAAATATGTGTGTTTATATCTATATATCTACGTGTGTGCGTGCGTGCGTGCGTGCGTGCGTGTGTGTGTGTGTGTGTGTGTGTGTGTGTGTGTGTGTTTGTTTATGTGTGTTTCAATACCAAGTAATGGAAATGAAAATCAAACTTTTCCTGTGCTGGAAAAGGAACAGAAGAATGAGCTCACAAATAAAGCAGAGCTGGGGAAAAACAAACTGTCTCCTTTGCCTCTCTACGATAGGATAGGTGCATTTCCTCCTGCTAGAGACCTGAGGGTACCTTACAGCGCCATGGCATATAGGAGCTTGAAATTTTTAGAGATGACACTGAATAACTCCCCTTGCTGTGCAGTGTTGTTGACACAGATTGGTCATCCATCACCGGAAGGGCAGAGCTCATCTCTTCCGCCAATGAGAAAAAGTGTATCCGCCAATTCAGTGAGAATTACGAATGACAAGAAAAGCTTAGCTATGTGAACTACAGCCTAACTGCTGTCATTAGAGACAAAATAAACTAATGTGACTGACTGGATCCCGGTATAAATATGACTCAGATGTAGTGTACAGGGAATTAACCCAGCATCATAGAAAAGGTGATTTTATTTTAAAAGTTGCATCTGTTACTATGGTGTGGGGGACATACATGTTCTCCTGCACATGTATGGAGGTCAGGAGACAGTTTTGTGGAGTAGGCTCTCTTTCCTTCCCTTCATTTGGGTTCCAGGGTCAAGCTCAGATTCTCTGGCTTGTGCTGTGACTACCTTAACCTGCTGAACCATCTCAACACTGCCTCCCCGCTTTAAATATTAATACTTATTTTTTATTTTATTTTATGTTTTCTGTAGCAAAATTGCCACCCCAAGCGTGGTGAGCATCCAGGCTCATTTTCAAGGACTAGAGTGGTTCCTGTAGCATTTTCAGGGACTCAGCACCTGAAATGCACAAGCAAACCGGGGTGTATTAGTTGCTTCCCCTGCAAGCAGTAAAGATCAATTGTTGCTGGTCTACAGAGTGTGTATTCAATGGCAGTGACGTTTAATTTGTTCATGCTCATCTCTGAGATCTAAAGTCTACTCATATCTCAAGATTCAGCTCAAATGCCACTTCTTAAGCAGCTCGAAGTAATCTCTTCCTCTTTGGAGTGTTCATACAGTGTTTTATCTGTGCCGTTCTTCTTCCACTTAGAGCTTTGAAAACTCCTTATCAGTTATCTGTGTACACATTTTATCTCTGACACTACATGGAAAGTTCTTCAGTGTATGGTATTTCATTTTATCATTTATCCCTCTGACGGCTTCATAGTGTTCCTCACTTTATCAGAAATGATTTATTACGAGGAATGAGTGAGTCTGCAGTTGAAATAGATTACATCAATAGTATGAGATATACCAATATGCAGTGCATGGAAAACTCTAGTAATAATAGGACTCAGAAAACCTAGCTTTTCTTCCTCTCTGTCACTGTGTGATTTGTGGATGCTTTCCTTCATACTGTTCATTTCTGTGTATGGATGCTTTACTTTCTTCAGATGGATGTAGAGAATTCCAGCTAACTTCTGAATGGTACCTAACTATGCTTTTATTCACATCAACTTGCTCATACAGTGTGTCCGAGAACCAATCCAAACTTTCATTTTCTCCTTCGGCTGCACCATGCAACCCCTTTTCCGTTTATGGCAGGTGATCACAATGCTTACTTTACAAAGGAAATCTGACCTGAAAAGAGAAACCCATTCACTCAACCCCAATGTAATGTTATTCAGTAAAAGTCATCGAGTATGGTCTGCTAAAAGATCGTGAGTGTGGTACTGAGCATTGGACCCAGGAGCAAGTACTCTACCACTGAACTATGTATATTAGCCCTTAATGATTTTTAAAAGTTATTCTTTGAAAACTTCATGCATTTATAAAATGTATTTTCATCAGATCCATCGACACCCCCTCCCTCCAACTTTCTCAAGTGCCCCATTCTGTTTCCTTCCAAACATCATGTCCTCTTTTTATTATTGTAACCAATAACCCCTTGAGTCTAATTAGTGATGCCCGCATGTGCATGTGCATGGGGCTATCTAGTCAGGCATGAAGAACCTACCAGCAAGCATGTTCCCAAAAGAGAGTGACACACACACACACTCTCTCTCAGAAACCATCCACTGTCAATAATTCCTTCACTAGGAGTGGAGCTTCATCTCCCATCCCCCATTTGTGCTGGAGTTTTGATTGGCTTGATCTTGTAAAGGTCTTGTACAAGTAATCACAGTGGCTGTGAGAGGGTGTGTAAGTAGCTGTGTCTAGAAGTCAGAACATGCATATTACAGGGCTTACTAAAAGATTTCAACATGAATGTCAGGAAGGAATACAGAGCCATGCTTACATATACTTATCATACATATATATACTTATATAAGCCATTGCATGATGAAAACATATTTTAGATCACTTTTTAATGATTTATAGCTTTTTATATTTTGTTCATTTTTTGCTGTTTTGCACCAAAGAACTAATCATTTTATATACTTTTTGGTTTCATTTTCTTTTGGAGACTGGGTCTTATGTAGCCCAGGCTGGGCTTGAACTTACTGTATGTCCATAGATGACCTTAAAATCCTAATCATCTTGCCTATGCCTTCCCTGTGCTGGTATGTATGTGTCCCATCACTCCCAGTTTTTAAATGATTTTTATAGGATAAAAGTTTTTGTAAAAAGTTTCCTGTTAATTTCTTTGAAAATGTAAGTGACAGCTCCTAAAAGAACAAATTCATCAGTGTTTTCAAAATTCACATTAAAATATGTAAAAATATTGCTTTCATCAATTTTCAATTAACATGTGGTTATTATGCAGACTTTTATACATTTTTATAACTCCCTTTTCTATTGTTGTTAGCTACTGATGCAAATGTGAAGAATGAAAGTCTCTCATCTGTGCAGCAGCTTGGCATTAAAATGACTGTCAGGTATGTAGGGAAATGTTTCTCCTGTGCATTTCTAGAATTCCTCTACCTGATGGGTGCTTAATAATGTTTAACAACCAACTATTTTGTATACTTTAAATGCAGACTTTACCACTCAGAAAATAATAACGTTATCTTTGAGGATATTGGCACATGATTAAATTACCTCTGGCTATAAATCAGTTACAGTTCATTATTATTCCAAGAGCTAATTAGCGTGTTCCTTTATGACTATCAGTTTTTTTCCACCCAAAAAATTAGCGTTGCAAAAACCAGCATGCTATGGCACAATTATACATCTCCTAAAACATAATTTGTTCTAGTTGTCAGGTTCCAGTGAAGACAAACATACCTTAAGGGTAGATTGAGAAGTTCAAATGGATAAACCAAAATGGTCATAGTTTGAGTTTTTAGAACTCATATATTAATTTTCAAAAGAAGTGAGGACATTAGATCATGAACTGGATAGTAACCTCCTTTTTTTGTTCTAAACAAACTTCATTTAATACAATGTTTTTAACTGTCCCTGTAATTAGAGGGTCATCGTTTGAATCATATCTAGGAAGGCACTTGCGAGATCTATTAAACACTCGAATCTTATATAAATGCCTGTTGTGATGAAAATCATGGCATGGATTCTGGATCATCCACTTCTACCAGAGTAACTGTTTTGATTTTGTGACTCCATATACATGTTTTAATAAAAGTATGCTGTCCTGCTCCATTTCCAATGAAATGGAACCTATAGATTACATAAGCAGCCTGGCCACATATTTTAACTCAATGTAATTTCTTATTCATAGGAAGTAAATGGAAAATAATGCATAATGTAGCGTTTGGATGACTGTGACATGGTACAGCTGCCATTCTGTAGCGTTATTGCAATAATAGCAGCAACAAAACCACTAAATGCACCAGCAGTATTGCTACTAAGAAGGAGACTTCCTAAAATGCAGACCAAGTAAAGTCTTAGGAAGGTTGGAAATGGACCAAACAACACACACATTCCATGTGTCTCAAATATAGGAACTTGGATAAAACTGAATTAGTTTCAGCTAAGTATAAGTAGATGTTTGATCCATGTAAATGCCAAGGCATTTCAAGTTATGGTACAGCACTGTACTAGTCACAATCCAAAATGTACAAACCCCTCTCGATATCCAGTATTCATAGATGACCTCCACAGGTATTTCTTGACTTAACATTCCAGAAACCTAAACTCAATAATCCATGTTTTAGATTAATTTCAGGCAGACTTCTTACATTATTCTCACCTGTAGTCTACTATCATTTTGATTTCTCATTGCTCTTTTACCACCCTAGAATGTTAACACTTACTGCCGATGATCCAAACATGTTGTAACTATCAGGAATGAATATTGAGTGCTTTGCTTAATGTAGTCACCCTCGAAGTAGACTCTTGAAAACTTCAGACCCTGAGCTCTCGAGAGAAGTACACTTTGATGGATGTCTAAAGATGAATGTGCAGGGAAGTTCCTCAGAGTTTTCATTCTGTGTTTTTTTCCGGCGGTCTTTAACATAGGTATGGTAAGTTTCTCAACTTGTTAAAAGATGGTGCGGAAAGTGACCTCGCCTTGGTCTTAAAGCACTGTGAGAGATTCCTGAAACAACAGCAGTCACCGGTAACTTCTTCTCTTCATATCCTTTTTGAGTGGATTTATGCAGAACTGAGTTGTCTTCCTGTATTTCCCATGTTTTTTCATAGGATCTGTTAACATATCTGTAATAAGTAATAGCTACTCTGTGATTTGTTACAGTGTATCCTTATAGGATTTTATTCTGTGTTTTGAACAGATACTTTATATTAAATTGACTTATAATCCTTAGATTCAGTTGTACTCACGGAATCTTAAGCTGAGGGAAGTGATTTACTACATACAATTAATATCTCTTTCCAGATAGAGATCCTGAAAGTGAATATTTATGAAAATCTCTGTCTCCTAAGATAACGTCAAAGTTCCTTAACTGTTCCGCAGTGTGCCTGCAAGGGAACTACACAGGCCATGACTGGTTCGTGTCTTCTCTGTTCATCATAATGCAAGGGGATAAGGAGAAGACACTCCATTTTCTTCAGCATTTCTCCAGGCTTCTGACCTCTGCTTTCCTTTGGGTGCCAAGGCTGCATATTTCTGTAAGACTTAAAAATCTGTTTTTAAAGGAGATTTGAACCTGAGAAACACCATATTTAACTTTACTAGAGTATTATCTTGCATACACACTGTGCCCTAATAATTCTTAGTCACTGTCCTGCCTAAATGATATTAATACAACTTTTATCAAATCTGTTCTTTGACAGTTTCATACATGGATATAATGTATTAGGATTACTCTCAACTCCTCCCATCTCATGTCTCCCTTCCACTCCTGTCAACCTACCCCTTCCTTCCTTCCTTCAAGTTCCTTTCCCATATTCATAGCCTTCTGTTTTGTTTTGTTTTGATTTGTTTTGTGATGTATTGGGTTAGTTAAGGGCATCTGTGTGACCACGGGTTTGAAGTTATCCATTGCTCACCAGTGGGTGCACAATTGGAAAAATAACTGTCTTTCCTCTAGAACCCATTACTAGTGAGTAGAGCAGCAGGGGCAGGTAGCCCATAAGCCCCTTCCTGATCCCCGATTGAGCTTTGATAGGCCTGGTGTTGTGTCGGCCTGGTGAAGGCAATCACAATGCCTGTGAGATGTTGATGGCAGTGACTGTGTCATGAACAGAAAACTGCCATCACCTCGGTTTCTGGCTCCTACAATTCTTTAAGCCCTGTCTGTCTTCTGTGATACTTCCTGAACTGTAGAGAGAGTGGTATAAATGTCCTCTTATGGTTAACCACTCAGTCATCACATCTTCTCTGTGTGATAAATAGCTATAAATCTCTCAATTCACCAATCATTGCAAAGAAGAGATTCTCGGATGAAGGCTGAGATACTATTAAGAATAGTATTTTTCTATGGGTATAAACATAAATATTTAGAAATCAGTTTCGTACTACTGTCAGTTTAGCCAAACAGCAGTAGTAAATTCCTCCTGGGGATTGTACCAGGTTTGAATTACCCTCAGGTGGATCAGGCCTTGAACACAATCAGAGAGTGGTTGACTACCCTTATAACAGTTGTGCCACTATAGCACTAGTGGGCACGTGTTACCTGGCAGGTTAGTATTAGGTTTTGTAGAGTTCCTGGATGGGTAAGACTAGATGCCTCTTATCCTCCAGCAGCCCACGTAACACTTCGCCAGAATATGAAAAGCAACCTCCTTGAGCATATTTATATTAGTTCCTTTGAATTTTATGTCTCAAATTTCAACTAAGTTGTTCTTATTTTGAGCAATTACTATGGGATTGTACCATTTTGAAAGGACATACTGTCTTGGTTTTCATATTATTTGTGTGTTTGTGATGAGACCTGTGCATCTGGAGTTGGGTTATTGGTTGTATCTTTTGATATGACTTTCTGGCTCACTCGTGGGGAATAGGCATTTGATCCGTATTGACTGTTACCCTGACTTGGAAGGTTTTGGGTCAGCTAGGAAATACTTAAAGCTCAGTCTTGTAGCCACTTGGTGCTGACTCATGTGGAATTTAATGTGATACCCATTCAGCCAGGGAAGAACATAGCTTCCAACTTCACCAGCAGGTTCTCTCCGGGGTGAGTAGTTAATCAGCAAGTGTCCTGATTCAACAGGATTTAGGGTACCACTAGGTAAATCTGTAACGCCACTTCATATCGGGTAAGCAGATGCTCTAAGACAAGTCTTTAGATGATGATGGGTGCCCAAGAGATGGAGCTGAGGGAAAGATGATGGTTTGAGAGGATCTTAGATTGTTCCTGCAGAGCTAGCAGGGAATTTGATGCGGGTCTTCAGATGGTGGGATTGGAATGCCCTAGGGAGAGGAAGGGGAAGGCTCGGTTGGCAATTCGGGCAGAGGAGTTCCAGGGTAGGTAGTGTGGTTTGGGTGCCCAAAGGAGAAGGAGGAGTGAGAGTTCTTACCAATAATGTGTGGGAGTTTGGAGCTTCCACCTATGGAGAATGAGATCTTCCATAGGTAGAAGAGGGTTGTAGTCCAAAGTCGGAGGCCTACACTTTGCAAAAGCCAGCAGAGTCCTGGGATGGCCTGAATGCTTTTCAATGGATTCTCTTTGAAAATATAGACTTGACCTTTTCTCTATAAGGTTATCTTACGTAATGATAATGGAGTGAGAGATATTTAATCACAGAAGCATTTTCATGAAATAGAAATATAATAAGCTGAAAGTCTAAACTTAAAGTTGTCATCATTATACATTGTTTAGTGATAAATAATGGACATAAAGGTTTTGAATATGGTTTTGAATATGTTTTAGTGTTGCTTTGTAAGAAGCTCTTGATTGTTAGGCTATAGTATAGTATAAGAAAAGCATTTCATGATAGAAATTGTAATCACATTTTATGGAAGAGAAAACCTGTATGTATGCATTTTAGAAACCTATACTGAGGACTTACTGATATGTTACTATTATTATTATAATTATTATTGTCATTGTTACTTTATGGTACTGGGTCTTCAGCTCTAGATGTGTGCACACCAGGCAAGCGCTCTGCTACTGAGCTATTAATACCCCCAGGCCTTGGAAGTAGTGCGTTTTGAAAGAATTTGCTATCCTTTTGAGATCTCAGAGATTACATTAGAGAAAAGCACATTACTCTGTGTTTTTGTTTATTTATTTATTGCATTTTGTTAAGATCTTCAACTGGGAGAAAATAAATATGGCATCAGTTCTGCTAAACTTCCTGGTAATTTCTCATGACATACTATATGTTGACAAATAAATATTTCGGCAAGAATAAGCTGAGAGCTATGCTTATGAAGTTAGATGGCAGCATTTATTAAGTGTCATTATGTGTAAGCATGTATGTATTTTATATATGTACATGTGTAATTAAATACTCATTTATGAACATATCTACAGAGATCTTGCTTTTATATATATATATATATATATATATATATATATATATACTGCATAATGAAAGTAAAATCAAAGCCTTATGAAATAAATACTGGAATTTAATAATTTTTTGCTTGAAATATTGTCATGTAGATAGTGACAAGATTGTTCAGTTAGCATTCTTCACCATAATAGAAAAATTTGTTCACATCCACAGCAGTAGGAAACAATAAATAGCTGCTTTTTTCTGCAATCTATGACACTCTTTTCTTACTGGTGCAGTGAATTAGAACTCTAAATTATAATTGAAAATTTAAAAGATCTCTCATTTCCACTCTTCTATTTCAACATATAATTTCTAAAACATTTTGGTAATGGATTTTGGGTTAAATAATTTATTTTCTTGTCAAACATTTTAAATGTTTACCTGTGTGTGTGCATGAGAGAGACTCACACACAGAGAGAGAAGGATTGGGGGGAGAGAATAGGAGCCCAGGGAGCATGGTGTGAGCACACCTGCTCATCACACACATGCAGAGGACAACTCTTAGAAGTCAGTTCTTGACTTCTACCTTGTTGAAGCAGGGTCTCTTGTTTCTACTGTTGACTGCCTTACTCCAGGCTAGCACCTGTGAGTTTCTGGGAGGTTTTTCAGTGTCTGCCTCTTTCACTGCAACTGTGTAGTGGGAAGTGGGATGCAATTAGGAACTGAACTTAGGTCCTCTGCAAGGGTAGTGTGTACTCTTAACTACAGAGCCATCTCTCCAGCCGCTAATGTATCATGGTTAAGCATGATTTCCTAAAGTTGCCTTTCTTTGAGCCTGTGAACTTTTTAGTAGCATGCATTTTAGTTTTCATAAATGCAGCAATGCTTCGCCTTCCCATAAAGTTGAAAAGAAGCAAGATTCTAGCAAGTTTGATTGTGTTCAGTTTACTGTTGGGATGTCAGTTAATATGGACTACACAGTTCTGTGTATAGAGTGGAGAGCTGTTACTGGAATCCATAGTCTCAGATTCAGCCCTGTGTAAACTTGTACCCTTTCTGCTTGCTCACCAGTACAGCCAGTGAATCTTTCTTCATCCCCATCTTTCTGCATTGCTGTTTTCTTCAGTGTGAACACAACATGTTGACTATTTCATTACCAGCCTGACAGACTAGTGGTTCTTTGTAAACGGCATTCTACTAATTCTCTTTTAGAAGTTCTATCAAGGAATATTAATTAATTGTTAATGTCCGAGTAGCCCCATTCCATAGTATAAATTCTTTTTACTTTAATAATCTTTTGGATTGTTTCCTCTATGCCATTTGTCTTGGGATGGTGCCTTCAATTATAGTTTTAATGCATTATTTACAAAATAAGACTTTTTTTATTTGCTTCATTTTCTCAAACATTGTGTCAGTATTTTCTGTGTAGGTTGATAAAATGAGAAAGTCTTTAGTTTTGTGACACTTTATTAGCTGTTAGTAGCACAATGTGCTTGCTTTCTTTAGCTCAAACTTACATTGTTGACATGTCCCTCAAAAGAGAAAAATCAACCTGAGTTGGTCAGGGAAGCCCCACAGGGTACCAAAACAGTAAAGGCTATTACCATCCTTCTCAGTTGGCTTCCAAAACTAGTTGATATGACCCTACTGTTTAAGATTCCAGTTATCTTCATTGCAAGACACAGAGACATCAAACTTGATGTGAGATTAAAGCTTCCTCCCTTACAGCTAGCTTTCATCCTTATGGAAGGTGTCATGCAGGATTCCAGAGAGTGCGGGGGGGGGGGGGGGGGGGGGATGCATCAATGGTTTCAGTCAGCTGGGACTCCTACAAACTATAACACCAATCTGCCAGGCACGATGTGCCCAGTAGTTCAAAAATGTCACAACTCTTATTGGGGTAATCAACTGCTCGATAATACGATTCAAGACCTGCCCCACAGGAGAGTATACTATACACACCTGGTACCACAAACTTGATCAAAACTTCATGGTTATTAGAAGGTCTGAGGCTCTAACAAGGGACTTACAACTGCTTCTTAGCTCAATCAACATGGTGTAAACTGCTTTCTAAATATATATGTTAATACTGTAGAAAATGTTCCTTTTAGTCTAATCAGGGAAAGTTCTGTTTGCAATAATGATGGTTAATGAAGAATCTCATGGCTGCTTAACATGCAGAGAATATTTGATGGCTGAGTGGTTAGCCCTAAGCAGGAGCCTCC